AAAACATCAAGTTAGTGTTGGAGTGGGTAGTGAATGACTGATTTAATAAAGACACAAAAAGAGATTCAATAAATCAAAATGCATTACAGTTAAAACCTAAATGACAAGTGCTACTACTTTCCTCAGTCATCTGGTTTTATATACTTTGACTTTGTCCTTTCACTCACTGTCTGTTCTCTAGAAAAGGAACATTTTAGGAGGATAACCCAGGATCTCTGCTGCCATGGACCTGAATCTCAGTGGACAGGGTATGACTTGTGGATGATTGCAGCCTTTGGTTGAGAGTGGGAATAGAAGTGATTAAGGACTGTGAAAGGGGGATTTTATGGAACTTTGAGAGAAGTCAAGCTTGCAGTGATAATTTAGAGATGGAACAGAAGGAAGGTCTGCAGAAGGTGCTGGGAAAACTTACAGGTTCATGAAGCAGGGAATGAGAATGAAGGTTGTAGAGGTTCATTGCAAATTCAGCTGTCAGTTATCATGTCTCATTCAAAACTCCATGTGTTAGGGTTACCACTGAGTGGGAAGGGACAAATCCTACCCCGAGGCATTGGGCCTGGTGAAGTGGCAGCAGAATTCCTTTTCCACTGAAACTATTAGTTAAGTGCCTAGCCTTCTTGTTCTTCTTTTTTCTCTCCTAGCTTTGTTTATGATGCTAATGAGGAGAGTAGGGACTGGAGTGGTGGCTTGAGTACTTCAGGTGACAGATTGACAACTTTGTTTTATTTTCTTTATGGATGTTCAAATATGTGCCTCTTTTACCTATATACCTAGCCCTCTAAGACTTGTATGGTTAGTTGGAAGTGTTCATATTTTTTGTGTTCATTCATCACTTATTTCTGGATCAGGGACTGAGACCTTGCCACATGTCTTTTGTATCCCTTGCTCCTTTGGACTTTAAAGTTTGATTAATCTAAACAAATTTTTAGGAGGTAATAACCAGTTTAGATCTAGTAGTAGCTTAGGAGTGACTTAGTGAGCAAGATCTCAGAACATTGTCCAGAAGATAAAGAAATGGAAAATGAGAGAGAAGTTAAAAGATAGGAAGAATGGAGTAGGTTACACACAAAAACACAGACACACAGCACATACAAACACATACGTAAATCTTAGAAGAGAAAGGAATAGAAGAAGGCAATATTCAAAGAGATAATAGTTGATAATTTTCCTGACTTGAAGACAAATACTTGAAACTTGTGGCTTAAAAGCACACTCAGCGCCATTATATATACATAAAACTAGATGCCTGGTAGTGGAAGTACAGAACACAATTTAAAAAAAAAAGTCTTGGGGCACCTGGGTGGCTCAGTTGGTTAAGCATCTGAATTCGGCTCAGGTCATGATCTCACAGTTTGTGGGTTCAAGCCCCACAACAGGTTCTGTGCTGATAGCTCAGAGCCTGGAGCTGCTTCGGATTCTGTGTCTCCCTCTCCCTCTACCCCTCCCTGCTTACACTCTGTCTCTCTCTCTCTCAAAAATAAATATTAAAAAAAATTTTTTTAAGGCTTTAGAGCAACTAGAGAGAAAATACAGATAAATTTACAAAGGAGGACATTTATACTGACAGCTGTAGTAGACAACAGAACACCGCAAAACAGTATCTTGAAAATGCTGAAAGAAAAATAAGCCAACCTAGAATTCTACACCCATCTAAATTATCATTCAAGAGTCGTGATGGAATAAACATTTCAAGCAAATTAAGATTACACCACTATTGGAATGTTTACTGAAAGAATTGTGAAAAATGTATTTCCCAAAAGAAGAAAAATAAGCCCAGATAAGGGAATAAGGAGCAAAATGGAAAGGTGAATAAAAAGATATGTGGGTATATATAAGTAAACATATACTGTTTAAATAGTAATTATAATGTTGTCTTAAAGAGTAGTAGGATAGTAGGGAACTAAAGTATTAGGCAAAAATAATATATAAGATAATTGATATCAGAGGAGTGATGAGAATAGTACTTTTTATGGTATATAAATGTACAATAAAAATTTTTTTAATTAATATATACTACTTGGGAAGAGTTGTTGGGAGAGCAGATTATCTGTACAATCTCTATGTCGTTACAAGTTCTATGCCTTTAAAATTCTTGATAATATCCTGATATTTTAGGTGGTTTATGCTGTAATTTCTATATTATAAAAATAAAAGTCTTATTAGAAAAAAATAGCTGAGATAATTTAGAAAATAAAATTGAGGAAGGTGTTATAGGAAGTGGTTCTACCAAGAATGAATTATTATTTTTATTTTTTATTTTTTTATTTTTTTTAAAAAATGAATTATTTTAAAACTATAACAAGAAAACGTGATATTAGTGCAGAATAGACAGACCATTGTAATAGAATATAGAATCCAGAAATAGAATTACACTTATATGGAAAGGATGGATTGTTCATCCAATAGTATTGAGTTATTGGTTAATATAGAAAAAAACAGCCAGTCCTTCTTTTATCCAACCAAATAAATTACTCAACAAATAAATTCCCAAGTGTGGCAAACAAAACAAATTTATATTTTAAAAAGGAAAAACGGGCGCCTGGGTGGCGCAGTCGGTTAAGCGTCCGACTTCAGCCAGGTCACGATCTCGCGGTCCGTGAGTTCGAGCCCCGCATCAGGCTCTGGGCTGATGGCTCAGAGCCTGGAGCCTGTTTCCGATTCTGTGTCTCCCTCTCTCTCAGCTCCTCCCCCGTTCATGCTCTGTCTCTCTCTGTCCCAAAAATAAATAAACGTTGAAAAAAAAAATTTAAAAAGGAAAAACATATGGCCTCAGTGTCTAGAAGAATTACTTGAAGACATAAAGCCCACCTACCACAAAGTAAAAGATAAATTGAACTATAGTCAAATAAAAACATTGAAATCAAAAGACTTCATAAGCAAGGTGGAGATACGAAACACAAATTGAGAAAACATATCTGTAACATAAAATTAATAAAGAATTAGTATCCAAATTTATATTGAGAACTTATACAAAGAAGGAAAGCAACAAATGATATGATTGGACATCTCACAGAAGAAGAATATGAAGTAGCCTGCAAAGAAACAAAAAGTTTTTCTCACTTATTTTTGACTCTCAAAATGTAAACTAAACAATAGGATATGAGTTTATACCCATCAAATTGATTAATGTCTGATAATACCAATTGCTGGTGACCTTGTGCAGCAGAAACCTTCATACAATGCTATTAAGAGAGTATATTTGGTACAGTCCCCTTGAAAAACAATTTGTTGATACCTATGAAAATTGAAGGTGCCTATTTCTTATGATTAATTCTAGACATATATCCTAATAGTATTTTCTTTGTGCCTCAGATCTCTTTTGAAAGCTAGAATAATGTTTTAAGTCTGTATAATAAAATACATAGGATTAAAATGGAAACTGATTATACTGAAATAGTTACAAAAATTTTTAAATATGTGATGTAGTATGCATTACTAGTGCATACTAATAAGAGCAACTGAAAGATCTAATAGCTGTCAATTTCAAAGTAATTTGATTGATGTAAATGGTATTTTGAGATAATCTATAACCACTGTTACATGATATCAAAATATCTAGGGCTATTGGTGACAAAAATCACAAGGATTGCTGAGTGCTCTCAGGTATATATATTCATAATTGATGTATGGGCTTATTTCTGGACTGTCAACACTATTCCTTTGGTCTGTACATCTGTCCTTATGCCAGTACCACACTTTTTTGATTGCTGTAGCTTTGTAATAAGTTAAGAACCTGTGTCCTAGACACACACTTTAATGTATGTCCAGGGAGATTAATACTGTAACACCACTGCAGTATTGAGTAGCAAAAAATGGGGAAGAGTCTAAAGATTAATCAATAGGAGATTATATAAATTGTGATATATTTAGATAGTGAGTAACTGTAACAGTGATAATGAACAAAACCAAGTTACAATAATATGGTAGATATCTTGTAGTCTCCTTGTGTATCATCACGGGTGATCTCAATACTGAATGAAAACAAGCTTTCAAAGAAAACATACTCTGTAACATCATTTTATGAAATTTTAACATTTTAACACGAAGTGTAAATACCCATTTGGGAATGGTATGTCCAAATTCAGGCTAGTGGTTATTAAAGGGTAAGGAATAGTGACGGGGGAAGGACAATCTAGTTACATAGGAGACTTTAATTATATCTAGAATGTTTATTTATGTGATGGACACATTATTGTATGCCTGGAATATTTTGTTAAAATATGTATTGCATGTTTTGATAGAATATTAATATGGCAGAGATAGTTTCAGTTTTAATATATAGAATAATTCAGAGTTTGTTTATTTGGGATTTTGTCAAGGGAAGATCAACAGATTGTTTTTCCCTAGTTCATCTCAGAGAAGTGAATTAACTTACATAGTGCCAGGTACTTTAAACGTGATAAAGCATATCTAGTAGATTAATATATTCATAAAGAAAATTCTGATCAAAGCAAAGACAGAACTAGAATTTATATTTAGATCTTTTTACCTCCAAAATCTCATACCATATTGTTAAGTTGCATATCTAGCAATAATAAATGACTTATTTTAGAAGTGGTAAGTTAACTGCACCTACAAAATGAGACCATCTCTGAGGCATACATTAACAATAAAGATGCTGAAGTAATCTCGAGCATGACATTATAATCTAGTTTTCTTAAAGATACTTTAGCCTGTTGTCATACTGCTGAAAGGCTAAAGAAATTATTGGTCTTTAGCAACTGTAGTGTTCCTGTTTGAAACAGTATTGATCATCATAATTTAGTACACGTTTAGCATTTAAAATTATTTTTGTGTGTTTTTCCATTTGAACTATTTTATTTTTATCCAAGTATAATTAACATAGTGCTATATTAGTTTCGGGTGTGCTGTATGATTCAACAATTATACCTTTCTCAGTACTCATCATGATAGTGTACTCCTAACAGCATTTAAATTTAACTGTGTGACTTCGTGTTTTGTTATTTTAAACCACGTTCTGTTCTGGTTCTTGATTTTAGGATCGAAAATTAACAAAGTCTGAGAGGCAGAGATTTAAAGAAGAGGCAGAAATGTTAAAGGGCCTTCAGCATCCCAATATTGTTCGATTCTATGATTCCTGGGAGTCCACAGTAAAAGGGAAGAAGTGCATTGTTTTGGTGACTGAACTAATGACATCTGGAACACTTAAAACGTAAGTCTATCAATATTATCAAAATTGACCAAGAAGTACGAAAGAACTTGAATTTTCCTATTTTATCAGTCCTGCTTTTTGTCACCCAGTGTACCATGGAGGGAACAATCCTTCCAACTGTTATTAGCACATTTTCTTGCCCACAAAGTCCTCTGGTGTATAAAATGATTTGAAAATTATTCAGTAGTAATATTAAAATGAGAAGTTATTACAGAATAAACCTAGTTATTTTAAACCCTGTTGATTTGGGGTTCTAAAATTGAATGGCTAAGGGATTGCGAAATCAAATGGCAAGGTAGCCCTCTAGTGGTTAAAATGAGGTTGAAGCTTATTGAGAGGACTTCTCCATTTATTTTTATCACCTTGTACAGTTTTTGCTGCATATCTGCAACTATTATGTCAAATGCAAATTGTGCTGTAGCAGTTATCACTAGTTTCATTTGTTATAGTATTAGAAATTAATGCCCAAACAGCTAGACTCATCATTTCTTTCAGGAAAACAGGTCAAATGCAGAAATTTCTTGTTCCCTATTACAGAGTTTTAAAGAGTTGGAGTTTAGCCTTTGGGAATCACAGGTGTTTTCCTCACTCAGAGAGGAAAGTACAAACGACCCTTGAACAGCAGGAAATTAGGGGTACTCACCCTCCATGTAGTTGAAAATCTGAGTATAACTTTTGAATCCTCCAAACAATTACTTAATGGCCTACTGTTCCAGCCTACTGGAAGCCTTACTGATAACATAAACAGTTGATTAACACATATTCGTATATGATATGTATTATTTACTATATTCTTTTTTTTTTTAATGTTTATTTTTGAGAGAGAGCACAAGCAGGGGAGGGGCAGAGAGAGAAGGGGACAGAGGATCCAAAGTGGGCTCCATGCTGACAGCCCAGTGTGGGGCTCGAACTCATGAACTGTGAAATTGTGACCTGAACCGAAGTCAGACGCTTAACCAACTGAGCCACCCAAGCACCCCTTATTTACTGTATTCTTATAATAAAATAAGCTAGAGAAAATAAAATTATGAGAAAATACATTTACAGTGCTATACTGTAAAAATCTGCATATAAGTAGACCTGCAATGTTCAAACCTATATTATTCAAGGGTAAACTGTAGTATAAATTATATGGTTTAAATTTTTTTATTGTGAAGGAATTGGATTTTTTTTAAGTGTCTTTTTTTGTTTGTTTGTTTAAGTTTATTTATCTTGAGAGAGAGGGAGAGAGGGAGAGCAAGCCAGGGAGGGGCAGAGAGAGAGAATCCCAAGCAAGCTCCATGCTGTAGCATGCTGTCAGTGCACAGAGCCCGAAGTGGGGCTCAAACTCATAAACCATGAGATCATGACCTGAGCTGAAACTAAGAGTTGGACGCTTAACTGACTGAGCCACCCAGGTGCCCCAGATACAGATTTTTTTTAATTGTCTCTTTAGTATGTATTAATTTCTGACTACTTTTCTTTAGTTAATACTACTGAGCTGATTCATCACAGGTCTTTGAAACATAGTTTTATATTTCCTGAATGTAGTCACTTGCATGTGTTCTTGGATGCTTAAGATTAACACACTGAAAAGCCAACAAATTATTTCCCCCAAGCAAATTCTAGTTTCCACACCCAGCTTCTCAAGTATTTATGGCAACATCTTTACCCTAGTCATCCAAGCTTCTTGTTATCCAGATGTCTTTTTCTTTCACTAGACTGTGCTCCCTAGCACTATGCTTTAAACTTGGTAAGTATTTGAATGAATTGAGGGAAATTGTGTGGTAGTAGTAGTTTGTGTGTATATCTTCATCTTGAGATTCTTTTCACCAGTTTGGACATATTAATGGACCGTCAGTAGTCTGTCAGGCATACCCTACAGGAGTACTCTATAACAGTTTATTTGTTTTAAAAAGTTTATTGAAAGGCTTTGGGTAACATAGACTAAGCTTCTTTGGAATTCCACCCCCCCCTCCCCACCATCAACAAACTAAAATGTGGAATATAATAAAAGCTTTTTCAGTACATACCCAAGTTTTTAAAGAAAGAAAGAGTGACCTCCAGATGAAAGGACAAGTGGAGGTAACTAAAGACCTAAACAGTAACCAATGTTTTGGCAGTCTGTTGGGTTTTCACATCATATATAGGGCTTGAGGTTTGGATACCAAGAGTTTTATTGTCCATGCCAGGACAAAAGGCCTTAGAACTCAGTAGAGAGGGGAACTTGAACTTAGCTTGTGTCAAAAACCTGAATTATTAATAAAAAGGGAGAACTCTTCACCCCAGCCAGTGAAAGCTACAAGGAATTTTGCCCCTCTGCCCAGCACTTAGGATAAGAGGGGGAGTCCCTATGAAAAAAACCAGAAATCTCAGTTTAGGTCATGTGTAGATGCCTCTATAATATAAATGTAGACTACCAGGTTGGTGCAGGGATCACAAATCAAGGAATGAAGATTCTAATTGGTCCAGAATCCAATGAAAACTCCGAAGGACATTTTCAGCATTTCATTGGTCATTATGTACGTGGATAAAACAGCCCCCAGTGAAGGTGACCTCACAAATTACAAATCACACACAGTAATATGATGATCAGATACAACTGGAAAATAACATTGGAATTAAAGATGCTATTGACAACTCTGAAAGTGAATACAAAATAAGCTTATAAGTACAAAAAGATGTCACTAAAGGTATATGTAAGTATATACAAGTATATAAAGTGATAAAAGGAGAGAAACCATAATGATTAGAAACCATAGTGAAGGAATATAACTACATCAAAAAAGTTCAGGCAGGGGCACCTGGTTGGCTCTGTCAGTAGAGCACGCAACTCTTAATCTCTTGGGATTATGAATTTGAGTCCCATGTTGGGCATAGAGATTACTTTAAAAAAAGAAAGAAAAGAAAGTTCAGGCATAATTAGAAAAGATCGAAAGACTTCTAGAAATAAGAATAAATCATTGGAATGTCTGGGTAGCTTAGTTGGTTGAGTGTCCAGCTCTTGAATTCAGCCCAGGTTATGATCTCATACTTCATGGGTTCGAGCCCTGTGTCAGGCTCTGTGCTGACAGCACAGAGGCTGCTTGGGGTTCTCTTTTTTTTAAGTTTATTCATTTAGTTTTGGTGGGGGGGGAGAGAATGAGCAGGGGAGGAGCAGAGAGAGCAGGAGAGAGAGAATATCCCAAGCAGGCTCATGCTCCACTGTGAGCCTGATGCACTGCTTGATCCCAAGACCCTGGGATCATGGCCTGAGCCAAAATCAAGAGTTGGATGCTTAACCAACTGAGCCATCCAGGCGCACCCCCCCATCTTAATCATTTTTAAATGTACAGTTCAGTAATGTTAAGTACATTCACATTGCTGTGCAGCCATTCTCCAGCACTCTTCAAACCTGCAAAACTAAAACCCATTAACATGATTACTCCAGCCCTTGGCAACCACTGACTGCTTTCTGTCTCTGGTTTTATCTGATCAAGGTATTTCATATAAATGGAATCATAAAATAACGGGGTCTTTTGTGTTTGGCTTCTTTAACTTAGCATAATGTTTTCAAGGTTCGTGATGTAGCATGTATCAGTATTTTATTCCTTTTTATGACTACATAACATTTTGTTTCATGGATATACCACAAATTTGTTTATCCATTTGATCTGTTTCCACCTTTGGCTATCGTGAATAATACTGCTATAAAACATGTGTGTATAAGTTTTTGAGTATATGTTTTCATTTCTTTTGGGTGTATGACTACAAGTGGAATTGCTGAGTCATGGTAATTCTATGTTTAATTTTTTAAGGAACCACCAAACGATTTTTCACAGCAGCTGAACTGTTTCACATTCCCACCAACAATGTATAAGAGTTTCAGTTTCTCCATATCCTTGCCAACACTTGTGTTTTGTATGTTTGTATGTATGTATGTATGTATGCATGTATATATGTATTTTCATAGCCATCCTACCAGGTGTGACATGGTATTTCATTGAGCATCTTGTCATGTGCATGTTGGCTATTTATCTTTGGACAAATGTCTATTCAAGTCCTTTGCCCATTTTTAATTTTTTTTTTTATTGTTGAGTTGTAAGAGTTCTTTATTCTGTAAGCTAAACCTTTCTCAGTACATGATTTGCAAATATTGTCTCCCATTCTATAGGTTATATTTTTACTTCCTTGATAATGTCCTGTGACATACAAAGTTAATGTTGATGAAGTCCAACTTACTTGTTTTTTCTTGTTTGTACTTTTGGTGTTCTATCTAAGAATCTGTTGCCAAAACCAGGGTCATGCAGATTTATCCCTAAGTTTTCTTCTAAAACTTCTACAGGTTTGTCTCTTATATTTAGGTTGTAGTTTTAATTTTAAGTAAATTTTTGCGTGCAATGTGGGATCCAACTTAATTCTATTGCACAGGGATGTCCAGTTATCTAGCACCATTTTGTTGAAGAGACTATTCTTTCCCTATTGAATGGTCTTGTACTCCTGTCAAAAATCCTTGAACTATAGATCTATGGGTTTATTTCTGGACTCTTGATGCTATTCTTTTGGTCTACATATCTGTCCCTATAACAGTATCACACTGTTTTGATTACTGTAGCTTTTGTAATATGTTTTCAAATTCAGAAGTGTGAGTTCTCCAATTTTGTTCCACTTTTTCAATATTGTTTTGGCTGTTTGGGGCCCCTTGCAATTCCATGTGAACTTGAGAATTATTTTTCCATTTCTGCAAAAAGGCTGATAGAATTTTGATTGTCAAATACAGTTATAGATACGTTGAATCTGTAGGCCACTTTGGGTAGTATTGTCATTAACTATATTAAGTTTTCCAACCCATGAACATGAGATATTTTTACATTTTATTTAGTTTTTCAATGGTTTTTTTCTAGTTTCCAATGTTTAAGTCCTTTGCTTTGTTGGTTAAATTTATGCCTAGGTATTTTATTCTTTTGGATGCTGTTGCAAATGAAATTGTTTTTTTAATTTCCTGTATAGGTTGTTAATTGTTGGTATATAGAACACAACTC